CTTGGTGTGTGTGCTGTTCCCCTCGTCCTGTGGACGTCGGTTTAGAGCAGTGCCGGGTAAATGGGTCAGCACGGCCCCGGTCAGGTGCACCAGGCCCTGAGCCCGGGACTCCCACCTGGTGCCTCCCTCGAGACAACCATGAGAGGCAGGTACCCACTCAGCAGTGAGGAAGCTGAGGCGTGGAGAGTGGAGTCACGTGCCCAAGGTCACATAGCTGGGCGACAGAGGAGCTGGCCTCTGAGCCGGACTCCGTCCTTATCCCAGCTCCTTGTCCCCCAAAGCAGAAGTGCCTGGACCCGTGGCTGCCTTGAGGAGACTCAGCACAGCAGGCTGCATCTCCATCCCCTACCAGGGACAGGGGCACAAGACGGAGTCCAGTCGGAGCCCCGTCCTCGAAAGCAGAGAACATTGGGACAGGCGGGCGCTACGGAAGGGGTGGGGACAGGCGGGCAAACCGGTTGGGCGGGTGCTGGGCTGGGGCCTCCCTCTGGATGGGCCTGCGCTGGCAGTCCCAGCTAGCAGCAGCTCGCGGGGCAGGCAGCTGGGGCCGTGAGGCCGCGGTACATCAGGTACGAGGGGACCTGGGACGGGGGGTGGGGAGTGGTGGGCAGGTCCCCAACCCTCAGCACCCCAATTTCATCTGCCCCTCAGCCTCTCCCCATCCCTGTCCCTGTCCCCCACCCAGCATCCTTCCCTGCTTTTGGCTCTTCACATTTGAAACTCCGTACACCTGTCACGCCTGAGTTTGCTGAGCCTCTCCCCAAATTGGACAACCGCGGTTTCATTGCTCCCCCACAATTCCCCCTCCACCGCATCCTTCAGTCCCCACAGGTACCCAGCTCTGTTTTCCTTCACCCTGCTTCTTAGCTGCTTCCCAGCTCACCGCACTAGCTCCATGTCCCTCCAAAGCATGCCAGCCTCCCACAGCGCCTACACCTTAATCACCCCTGTGTCACTCAGCCACCACCCTGGACCCCCTATTTCCCCAGACCACCTCTGCTTAGCACTCCCGTGTCCTGGCCTTAGAAACTCCCAGGGGCTCCCAGACACACAGCCTCAAATTAGCCCCTAGCCCCCCCCAGCAGTCCTCCATTCCCTTCTCTGGCCATTCTTCCTCATCCCGCCTCTCACTCTACCCTGAAGGCTACCTCTGTCCCCTCCTCCCAAGTGACCTAGGAACCCAGCGTCTGGGACTTGGCCTCTCCCCTGTCCACGCTGTCAGGCAGGACAGGGACCCTGACCTCAGCTCTCTGCTGTTGGTGCCCCAGAGGCTACGCTGAGCTTGTGCGCTCCCTCCTGTCCCAGGAGCAGGCCCCCAGCACCCAGCTGCCTGGCCGCCATGCACAAGCATTATAAAGTCCACTTCGCCAAGGACGCCCAGACCCCTAGCGGGCACTGCTTCTGGGACCCAGAGTTGGGGCACCAAAAAGGTACGGGTTCAGTTTGGGGGTGGGTGATGGCTGGCAGAGGCCTGCGAGGGAGCTGGAGTGAATGAAGGAACAGAAGGGGAGCCACCAGCGCTCCCCCAAGAGGCATCTGCCTAGTGGAGGTCAGGACCCAGGAGCGGGATCACAGGGCCTGGGGTCCCAAAGATAGGAGCCTGGGCTGAAGATGGAAGCTGGGGGCCGCTTGGCCTGCCCTTCCCTCCCCAAACCCCCAGGCCTGTGTGGGTGGCCCCCAGCCTCGAGGGAGCCCCTAGGCTGAACCTGTCTGGATGAGGCTGGACCCAGTTTCTGGTGGCGGCCACGGGTGCTCTTGCTCAGGGTGGGGAGGGGGTAGTGCCCTTCCTCTGGGGCTGATTCAGCCTCCTCAGGGCCGGAGCTTCCCAGGTCACCACCCTTCCTGCCACCCTGGCCTGAGCTGGGGACAAGGTACACCCTGCTTCCCAATCCCGGCCTACCGCTCTCCACGGCCTCCACCCCGGCCTTCCTGGGCCAGCCAGGCCAGCTCCCAATGGGTCCTCTCAGTTTCTCCGACCCCTGCACTGGGCGCACCCCCCAGGGATCCCAGAATCTGGAGGGGCAGGCACCCGCCTCCACTGAAGCCCCAGCCTCAGGCATCTCTCTGGCCCCTGACTGAAGCCCAAGACTGGCACCTTCCCCGCTCCCACCCACGGACAGCACAGAACCCGGGCCCCTCCCCTGCCCGTATCTCCCCCTAATATGATCTGACTTTCTGAGGGGCCTCTGGGGCTCCCAAGAATACTCCGGCCCCCAGGTTCTACCTGAAGACTTGATCTGGCTCGAGCCAGTGCCCCGCCGGAGGTTGGAGACGCAGGCCCAGTCACCCCCACTTCCTTCCTTCCAGGATGCTGTCATCCGCGACGCCAGGACTCAGCAGCCCTCCGAGCCCATGGGCCCTGTCGGCCTTCCCCCCAGTCACACTGGCAGCTGGCCTACCACAGCCACCGAGCGGGTAGCAGTGGCTGGCGCCGGGGCCCCCCACCCTCTGTCCAGCAGCGGCAGCCCCAGCCCCTACCTCCCAGCCCCATGCGGCAGCAGCTCTGCCCCATTCACGAAGCCCAGAAGGGGCCACCTGCAACCTCCACTGTCCCCAGGGGACCGGCCAGCGCCCCCCAGGCGCCCCCCTTAGCCACCACGGCACTCGCCACAGCCAGCAGCGGCCCAGCCCTACGCTCCGCGGCCAGCGTCTTCCTGGAGCCCAGCGAGCCCACTGATGCCCGGCCCCTGCCTGCCCCAGCGGCCTGCGGCTCCTTCACCTACAGCTCTGGTGCTCACCCTGGCCTTCCTGGGGGCTCCGTGCCTGCTCCTGCTGCCTCACTTCCCGCCTGCTCCCCTTGCACCTGCCTTCTTCATCCACACCCTGGTCCCTGTCCAGGGGGGGCGCATCCCTGGCCCTGGGGCTCAGGCCGGCTGCCTCTGCTTTGCCTGTCGGGGTCTAAGGCTTCCATCCTGGGCCAGGCAGCGAAGGCCTCCCTCTCATTCCCCCCTTTCCCTCTGCCGACACCCTGGCTGTGCCCTGGTCTCTTCTCAGCCACCTCCTCTGGCCCAGCAGGCTACAGGGGACATGGGGCAGGGATGGTGAACCCCAGTTTGTTGGCGGCTCAGGGGTGGGGGAGACAGAGCTAGGGAGTGGCCTGGGGAGTGAGAACGAAGGTCAGCAACGGGAGGACCCATCCCTCATTCACTCCATGACTAGGTATCCAGCACCCTGAGTGTGCCAGGCTGTTCTAGGGGCACAGTAGGGAGCAGGATCAACAGACATCTCTGTCTCAATGGGGCTCACATTGTATTGCAGCCGGGAGCGGGTACAGGAAACAAGGAAGTTTAAAAGTGTGGCTGGGAGCCCAGGCATGGTGGCTCACGCCTGTAATCCCAGCACTTTGGGAGGCCGAAGCAGGTGGATCACTGGAGGTCAGAGGTTCGAGACCAGCCTGGCCAACATGGTACAACCCTGTCCCTACTAAAAGAACAAAAATTAGCTGGGCATGGTGGTGGGTGCCTCTAGTCCCAGCTACTCAGGAGGCTGAGGCAGGAGAATCACTTGAACCCGGGAGGTGGAGGCTGCAGTGAACCGAGATCACACCACTGCACTCCAGCCTGGGCAACAGAGCGAGACTCCATCTCAAAAAAAAGAAAAAGTGTGGTTGGGTGCACTGGCTGACACCTGTAATCCCAGTAGTTTGGGAGGCTGAGGCTGGAGAATCACTTGAGGCCAGGAGTTCCAGACCAGCCTGGGCAGCATAGTGAGGCCCTGTCTCTATAAAAAATAAAAATTAGCCCAGCATGGTGGTGCACGCCTGTGGTCCCAGCCACATGGGAGGCTGAGGCAGGAGGATCCCTTGAGCCCAGGAGTTCAAGGCTGCAGTCAGCTATAATTGTGCCACTGCACTCCATCCTGGGTGACAGAGCAAGACCTTGCCTCTAAAACTATGCCACCCAGTGACAACCACGCTAGGAAAAAATAAAGCAGGGAGAGGAGATGGGGGGTCAGGTTTGCAGATTAAATAGGGTGGTCAGGCTGGGCCCTGGGGAGGCATGTTCCCGCCCAGCAAGGAGCCAGCACTTGGGATTTCTCCCTAAAGGAGGCAGGAGCCACAGGAGGCCTCGGAGCTGAGGAGGGACGTGAGCTGATCTCCAGGAGAATGGGCTGTGGGAGGAGGAGATGACAGGAATGCAGGCGAGAGGCGCTGGTGGCCTGGCTGGGGCGGGGGCAGCAGAGATGGAGACACAGCTGGTTTCTAGGTCTGTCTTGAAAGTGGAGCAAGAGGGACTCAACAGGACTCTAGGTCGGGCACGGCCTTGTCACCCGAGCCTCAGGGCTGTGATGTCCATTTCACACACAGGGAAATAGGCTGGATGAGGTGGGGCCGCCCAGTGATCTGGCAGAGCTGGAATCAGGCCCACCCGGCACACACCTCAGGAGACCTACCCAAGTCTTCCTCTTGGCCTCCTGGCTCTGCTGCCAGGCGTGGCCCGTTTCCCATGGCCCCCCAGGCCTCTCTGAAAGTGGCTGTGTTGCCCTCACTGTGCGCCACAAGGCTGGCCCCATGTACCTCCCAAAACTGAACCCTGTCTTTTTGAGACCCCATTTCCAGGTCTGAGAAGCAATACTCAGTGGAGACAGGGTGCCCTCTACTGAGTGGGTGCTGTAGTGCCAGTGCCTGGTCCCCTGGGCCTTCAATGGCCACTGGAGACCACGGCATTGACAGAGGGCCCGGTGCTGGCCACACCCTTTGGCATCCCCGCTACCCGGCATCTCTGCCGCCCCACTCTTCAGAGGGAACTGAGCCTCTCAGAGGTGGCTCTCCCTGGGGTCTGCAGAGAAAGGCAACGGGGCCGGGACTGGAGCTTCAGTCTTGTCATCTCTCTCCCAAGCCTGGGGTCAGGTGGGATTAGTGACTTGCGGGCATGGGGTCAGGTACGGGATGGGCAGAAGCTGAGAGGAGCCAGGGCCTCTCCATGCTGGGGCTGGGCCAGCAGAGCAGGCAGGAATGGCCTGGAGTCCTGCTGATGGTGGAAACTGCTATCTCCGCATCCCAGGGCCTCGGATCCCAAATAAGGGCCTTTGGGGTTTTCTGGGTGGGGGGATATCATAGGCCGGTGACCAAGCAAGCCTGGTCATCTGGGGCTAGGAAAGCTGACTTCCTGCAGCCTCAGCCTGGTGGGACCCAAAGGGGCATGTCTGGCTCTGGAGGTGGAGGCTGCTGGTGGCCACAGAAACCTCCACTTGAGGGTTTGACCTGAGTCCCCTTAGCATGGGGTGCCAGGGAGGGGCCAATGGTGGTGGCTGTGGTGGGCAGATGGGAGGAGGGTGGTGCCTGGCCAGCCGCCTGACTCAGTGTCCCCACCCTCACCTACCAGACATTCTAACAGAGGATGACGTTTACTGCAGCTGCCTGGCCAAGACACTCTGCCACGTGCCCGTCCCTGTGACCGTGGGTTTCTACGCCCCCTTTGGCTGCCGCCTGCACATGATGCTGGACAAGATCACGGGTGAGGAGCTGTGTTCACTGTGGGGAGGATGAGAAACAGGGCCTCTGGTGCCCGCCCAGCTCCAGGCTTCTCCCATATCCCCCAATCCCTGTGGCCAGCCTGCCCCAGCCCAGACCCTCCCCAAGCCCATGCCTATGCCCCAGGCTCTGCTTCCCTGGCCTCCTGACCACCTCCAAGTCTTACCCTTTCCTGCCTCCATCACCAAATCCACTCCAAAAACTCCGAAGGACAGGTCTGGTACTGTTCCTCCTATGCTCAGCGCCTCCCATGCTCCCCAGCACCTGAGGCAGAAAGCCCAGGGTCTTTAATGAGGCTGCAGGCTCCTGCCAAGGCCCTTCCGGCCTCTGTGCCCCCCAGACCCATCTCCTAGGGCATAGTGGTCACCTGACAGATAGATGCTAATTGAAGATATAAGCTGGAAACTGCAAGATTCCCAGCAGCTTTTTTTTTTTTTTAAGACGGAGTCTCACTTTGTCGCCCAGGCTGGCCTCAGCCTCCTGAGTAGCTGGGATTACAGGCATGCGCCACCATACCTAGCTAATTTTTTTTGTTTTTAGTAGAGACGGGGTTTCACCATGTCGGTCAGGCTGGTCTTGAACTCGTGACCTCGTGATCCTCCCTCCTTGGCCTCCCAAAGTGCTAGGATTTGGGAGGTGTGACCCACCCAACCCAGCCCAGACTTTTTTTCTTTTTTTTTTCCTTTGAGACAGAGTCTCGCTCTGTCGTCCAGGCTGGAGTGCAGTACTGTAACCTCTACTCCCGGGTTCAAGCAATTCTGCCTCAGCCTCCCAAGTAGCTGGGACTACAGGTGCCTGCCACCACGCCTGGCTAATTTTTAGTAGAAATGGGGTTTCACCGTGTTGGCCAGGCTGGTCTTGAACTCCTGACCTCATGTGATCCGCCCACCTCCGCCTCCCCAGAAGTGTTGAGATTACAGGCATGAACCACTGCACCCAGCCTCCCCAGCAGTTTTGATCTGGATCAGGCCTTGCTGGAGCTCAGACTTCATCCCCACGTGCAGCCAGAGAGGCTGAGTCTGGCGTTCCTCCTCCATGTGCCCAGCCCTGGTGCAGGCCCAACAGCCTTTCATTCCTGTAGTGTCCACTGAGAGCTCACTGTCCTGCCCCCTGTTGTCACAAAAGAACAAACAAGCTCCCAGGAGGAGAAAAGATGAGGATAGAAGGAGCAGAGCGCCAGCATGATGGAGTCCCTACTCCTGTGGGTCCATTCACTCCCTGAGCTCAGATTTCTCAAGATCCATTGTTCAGGCATTCCCCCAGCACCTTCTGGTGCCCAGGGTACACAGTGGTGACCAAGACAGGCAGGACCCCACCCTTCCGGCTCACAGCAGTAGGGGAGAGAGACTTATCCTCAGACAGTGATGACCCAGAGCGGGAATGACTGAGGGCCCCCAACCCAGCCTGGGGACCAGGGAGGGCTTCCTGGAGGAGCATCAGTAAGTCAGGAAGATAAGACCAAGGCTGTATCCTGCTGTCTAGCATAGCTCGTTCTCAGCATCTCATTCATTCATCCCTTCACCGACCACTTATCCCCTACTTCACTCTCAGAACCTTCCTAGAGCCCTCCACACCCTCGACCCCTTGCGCAGCCCTGGCTCTTCCTCCTGTCCCTTTTTGCGCCCTCCCATCGTCTCTCCTTTGCCGGCTCTACCTCTGCCCATCCTGACCCCCAAACCAGGCCTTCAGACCGCTTCCGGTCCAAGCCTGGCTCCAGGCCTCTCCACGCACCGCCTTCTGCACCCACTTCTAGCTCTTTAAGGAGTGGCCGCGGCTCCCTTCCAGCCCCTCGCCTCTCCAGGAGCGCCCTGCCCCCGCCCACCCCGGCGGGTCTGCGGCTCCCGCGCGCTCCCTTCCAGCCCGGACCTCTGCTGGGCGCTCCTAGTCTCTCCAGGAGCGCCCCGCCCCGTCTAGGCCCCGCCCACCCCGGCGGGTCTGTGGCTCACGCTGCTCCCGGGCTCCCGTCCCTCAGCGCTGATGCAGCAGGAGGCGGCGCAACGCGAGAGCGAGGAGCTGGAGCACGTGCAGTGGCGACCGCGCGCCGTGAGCGGCTGGGGCGTCCCGCAGCTGCTGTGGTACCTGGTGTTCCTGCAGCCCATCATCACCGAGGTGCACCTGCGGCGCAGGAACGTGCAGTTCCTCTTCATCCGCTTTAGCGCCTGGCAGTATGCGGGCACCGACAAGCTGTGGGCCGGCCTGGTGACCACGCTGTGCGAGGGCATCCGCCACCACTACGGCGCGCTGCCCTTCAGCGTGTACTCGGTGCTGGGCAACAAGCCGGCCACCAGGCAGGGCTGCTGCCACAACGAGTGGCACTGCCGGCGCCGTGTGTGCCTGGGGCTGCTGGCGCTGCTGGCGGCGCTGGGCCTGGGCGTGGGGCTGCTCTACCTGTCCCTGGGCGGCCACGCGCCGGGCCACGGCGGTCCGAACGGCAGCCTGCTCAAGGTGTTCGGCGGCGCGGCCACCACGCTGTCGGGCTCGGGGCTGCTCATGGCCGTGTACTCGGTGGGCAAGCATCTGTTCGTGAGCCAGCGCAAGAAGATCGAGCGGCTGGTGTCGCGCGAGAAGTTCGGCAGCCAGCTGGGCTTCATGTGCGAGGTGAAGAAGGAGGTGGAGCTGCTCACCGACTTCCTGTGCTTCCTGGAGATCTACCAGCGGCGCCGGCTGCGCGTGGTGCTGGAGGTCACCGGGCTGGACACGTGCTACCCGGAGCGCGTGGTGGGCGTGCTCAACGCCATCAACACGCTGCTGTCCGACAGCCACGCGCCCTTCATCTTCATCCTGGTCGTGGACCCCAGCATCCTGGCCGCGTGCCTGGAGAGCGCGGGCAACATGAAGGGCACGGCCGACAACGGCTACCTCTTCCTCAACCGCACGGTCACGCTGCCCTTCTCCGTGCCCATCATGGGCCGCCGCACCAAGCTGCAGTTCCTGCACGACGCCGTGCAGAGCCGCGACGACCTGCTGTATCGCGAGATCACGCGCAAGCCGGGGGCTGCCGGGGGCGGCGGGAGCGAGAGGGCGCAGCTGCTGGCGGTGCAGACGCAGGTGGTCCCCGAGCGCCGGCAGGGCAGCATCGACGCGGAGGCGGCGCGGCGCATCCAGGAGGCGCTCTTCTGCCTGCACGACGAGCGCGACTGCCTCTACGAGTACGTGCCCGACAACGTGGTGTCCATGCGGCGCATCGTCAACACCGTGCCCATCACCGTGCGCCTGCTGCAGCAGCAGCAGCAGCAGGGTGACTTCGGGGGCCCCACGCCGCGCCAGGCGGTGGCGTGGGTGGTGCTCGCCAACCAGTGGCCGTGCCGCCTGAGCTGGGCGCTGCAGTGCCTGGAGGACCGGCAGCAGACCGGGGGCGCTCCCGAAGGTCGCGCGCGCCTCTGGGACGTGTTCCGCGACAACAGCCGCGAGCTGCACACCATGACCAAGGCGTTGCAGAATGTGCTGGACCTGGACGGCGACCCCGAGCTCTTCGAGCGTTTCCTGGGCGCCGACTTCCCCTTCACCGTGGCCGAGGCGCAGAGCCTGCTGCGCTGCACTGTCAACCTGGACCACTCCATCCGCCGGCGCATGGGCCTCATCCGAGCCGTCAGCGCGCTCAAGCCGCCCAGCCCGCCCAAATCCCCTGCTCGCGATGCCCCCCACGCTGCCCACCGGGCCAACAGCGCCTCTAGGGCGTCCCCGTCGGGCCGTGCCGCAGGGCAAGCCGGCGAAGGCCACCACGCTGGGGACGTGGCCCATGCGGGACAAGCCATGGCCAGTGGCCTGAGCGCTCTTCTGTCCAGGGGAATCCAGGCCAGGTGGGCCCTGAATGGAGGACTTGTCAGGCAGCAGGAGGCAAGGGCTCCTCCATCTGCCCAGATGGGGGAATAGGGGACTGGACTGGGGCCACAGCCCAGGGTCCCAATGAGGCCTGTGAATCTGAGCCAGAGCCGTGGACATAGCTTCCAGGAGCGGGGCTGTGAGCCAGTGCCAGTGTGAGAGCGGGTGCAGAAGGACCAGTGAGGAACTCGGTGTACGTGCAACAAATGGAGTCGTTGAGAGCCCTGAGTTGGTCCTTACATCCTGATCTGACCAGGGACCAGGCCTGCCCCATCCTGCCACCAGGGCCTGCCCTGCCCTGCCAAGCCCACTTCCTCCTCTGAGCCACACTGGCCTCCTCAGCTGGCATCTCTGTGGCAGGAGGGGCTGCGGGGGCGGTGGGCAAGGTGGGTGAGGCTGCAGAGCTGGGAGATGACAGGCGGATGGGCTGGGTTGACTAAGGCAACATGGAGCGCCCAGGCCTCAGGGAATCCCAGTCCTTGTCCCCATGCCCTAGCCTGCCCCTCTGTGAGCAGGGCAGGAGCTGGCATTTCTGAGGGTGACCTCAGTGAACTCAGCAGTCTGCTCCACCCCCAGGAAGGCTCCACCCTCAATGTAATGGATTAATTAGATCTTATTGGCACCTCAGTCGAGTGGGGTGGGTGGCACTAACCTCCCCCAGATAAATAACTGTCCACAAGATGCCTGCATTACAAGTCACTCCAGGGCCACCCAAGGGCCACTGGTTAGTCACTGACACTACCGCACCAGCCCCTTGATGAGGACAGGGAAGTTAAGCAGAGATGAGGATACAGGGCCCAAGTCAGCCAGGCAGGAGGGGTTACACTAGGGCTTCCCACCTTCCCTCTGGGTAAAGCCCTGGGCTGGTGGGTGGGTGTCGCTCCTCTGAGCAGTTCTTGATTCCTCATTGGTCCAATGTTCAGCCACATGCTCAAGCCCTGGGGTGCCTGGCCCAGTCCCATGCATGTGCAGGCAGGGGCCGCAGGGACCAACACTGAATGTACCCCTGGGATGAGGCTGACTTCTGAGCCAGGGCCCTGAGACTGGCGGAGGGAACAGTCCCTGAGGAACCCAAGAGCTCTGTAAAGGCACCCACCCTTCGGCCATGGGGGCTGGGGTCACTGACCTCACAGTTCCTTAGCTCCAAGGCTGGGCACGGCATCCAGGTCTCGCTGTAGCACCGGAGTCCCCTGGCCACAGCAATGGTGTCACCAGTGCATGCAGGTCAGTGGGAGCCCGCCATGATCTTCCCTGGAGCTAAGCGAGCAGTTTCTCATTCCTGGCCTGGCTAAGCTGGTAGGATATGCCTGGACCTCCTGGGAGCTGTTTCCCAGCAGGCAGGGAGCACTGCCCTCAGAGGAAGAGGCATGGGACGTCATGACATGGTTGAGTGTGTTTCTGTAGATGTGCGGTTAGGGTCAATATATCCCTTTCGCCTCCCTTAAGCCAGTTTCATTGGGACTGTTTCTTACCACCTGGAATCCAGGCTGAAAACAAATTCACTCCTGTTACCAGGAGTGGGTGCTGTGAGAGATGCTAACGTGCAGACTTGGGTGGAGGTGAGGACAGGACTGAGGCCCCCCATGCCTCAGTAAAAAGCCGCACCAACCTGGCCAACATGGTGAAACCCCATCTCTACTAGAAATACCAAAAAATTAGCCGGGCGTGGTGGTGCGCACCTGTAATCCCAGCTACTCATGAGGCTGAGGTGGGAGGATCACTTCAAACCAGGAGGTAGAGGTTGCAGTGAGCTGAGATGGTGCCACTGCACTGCACTCCAGCCTGGGTGACAGACCGAGACTCCATCTCAAAAAACAGAACAAAGCCGCAGCCTCTGTTACGTGGTACCAAGCAGCAGCCAAACTGTTGCCCACAGTATCTTCATGTGGAGCTGCTGTGAGAACTTGCACCTGCGTGGGCCGTGGGACCAGTTCTCACCAACAGAAAGGGAGCATGGCTGACCCTTATGCCTTTCCCAGCAATGAGTTAGGGAGCAGGTTTCCCTTCACTCCCCTCCCCTATCTGCCCACTTGGTGCTGGGACCCCTGAAGCCCTGGGGAGCGACAGCGCCCTGAGCTTGGAAGGGACCTGGGTCCAGGAGTAACTTGGTAAACAGCTGCCTGCCACTCTGAATATCCACGTGTGACAATAGACATCTCCTGTGTTAGGTCATGGAGATCCTCCATGAAACAGACCCCCTACATCTTCAGCAAAGGCTACCAAAACATGACAAGCTCATGTTTGGATGGCTGAAGGGAAGGGGAAGACAAGACGGCAAGGGGGATCCTCTCAGCCTCCAGCCTTCGATCTGGGACCCTTGAGTCAGAAAATCTGAAGTGCTGCAGGCTGGTGTGGCCTGATACAGCTGCAGTTCCTATAGCTGCTCTAACGCAGTCCGACAGACCACATGCCTTTGAAGAACAAATGTATCATCTCTTGCTTCTGGAGGCTGCAAGTTCCAGATGAAGGGGGTCCCTCTGTGCCTGCTCCCCGCTCCCGGCGTGCTGCTGGCCATCTCTGCACTCCCTGGCTTGCAAATACAATCGCCCCATCCTGTCTTCACGTGGCAGTCTCCCTGTGCCCAAATGCCCCTTTTGGTAAGGACACCAGGGGCCAGGTACAGTGGCTCACGTCTGTAATCCCAGCACTTTGGGAGGCCAAGACAGGTGGCTCACGAGTCAGCAGATCGAGACCATCTTGGCCAACATGATGAAACCCCATCTCTACTAAAATACAAAAAAATTAGCTGGGCTTGCTGGGCATGGCCTGTAGTCCCAGCTGCTCAGGAGGCTGAGACAGGAGAATTGCTAGAACCCAGGAGGCGGAGGTTGCAGTGAGCCAAGATCGTGCCATTGCACTCTAACCTGGGCTATCCCAAGAAATAAAACAAAAATAAAAAAATAAGGACATCAGGCAGACAAGTAAGGCCCACCCGAATGACCTCATTCTCACTTGATGACCTTTGTAAAGACCCTACTTCTAAGTGAGCTCACATTCTGGGGTACTGGAGATAAGGACTTTTAACGTCTTTTTTTTATGGGAGACACAATTCAACCCCCAACAGTAGGAAAGGCCCAGTTCCTCACTCCAAGCTCAGTTTGGTGAAAGCAAATACAAATCAAGCAACAGGCTGGGAAGAGGACCCGTTCCTCCCCCAGCCCACCCTGCTTGGGGTGGGGAGGCAGACGGGCAAGGGGCTGGTGAGACCCCAACACAACTACCTCCACGGAGGCTGAGACCATAAGCAAAGGCTAATATTGACCAAGGGCCTCCGAAGATCTTTGGGGCACTGTGCTGACCCCAACCAGGCAAAGGACGGCAGTCTCCCAGTACCTTGAAGCAAACACCTCACATGCCCCGGCCTCACCCAGAGGGGCTGGATCCACGTCGGCCAGGAGGCGACCCCTTCTTCCCCTTCACCCGCAGCCACATCGAGCATTAGCAGAGCTGGGGACAGGCTGGCAGTGCAGGGACAGAAGGATGCTGCTGGCTGCTGTTCTGTGTAGCTGCCCTAAGTCCCTTGCCCCAATCAGAGTCTTGGTCATAGCTGCCCTGGGGAGCAGTTAGGACACTCACAGCTGCATGGGACCAAACGGCAAACCAGCAGTGGCTTCATGAGGTGTTCCTCACTGAGGCCAGGGCGGCTGGGCAGCAGACTCCTTGTGTGTCCAGGAGCTGAATGACACCAGGGTTCCAGCCAGCGACGCTTCCTGCGACCTCACCACAACACCTCATCCATGACAGCCTCCCACACGGGAAAGAAAGGGGTGGGTGGCCTCATTTTCCTTTTTTTTGAGACAGGGTTTCACTCTGTTACCCAGGCTGGAGTGCAGTGGTGTAATCATAAATCATAGCTCACTGCAGCCTCAGCCTCCTGGGTTCAAGCGATCCTCCCAATTCAGCCTCCTGAGTAGCTAGGACTACAGGCGTGTGCCACCATGCCCAGCTAATTTTAGTATTTTCTGTGGAGATGGGGTTTCACAATGTTACCTAGGCTGGTCTCAAATTCCTGAGTTCAAGTGATCCTCCCACCTCGGCCTCCCAAGGTGGTGTTGGGATTACAGGTATGGGCCACCATGCCCAGCCTGCTCTCTCAGTTCCTAAAGGGAGAAAACAGCCCTCCCAGAAATGCTCAACAGTCCCCCGTGGCACCCCAGGCCCGTGCTGGTGCTCTGGCCTGGCCCCGGGCACACTCCACCTGCATGACACCAAGGCTGGCAGGGACAGGCTGGAATCTGTTCCCACTGAGGGACAGGTGGCTGGCAGAGCCACACCGTATCCAGCATCCTGGGATCCTAGACCTGAAGCTGGGAGGAATTCAGGGCCCATCTCTCCATGCAGAAGGGATGGGTGTAAACTGGCCTGGCTGTGAGGTGGCTGTATGAGACACTGGAGCATAGACACAGAGAAGAGGGGACTGTGGGGGAAGACGCAGCAATGCCTGGTCAGCCTCCTGAGCCCTGCCAGACTGTGACAGCCACCACCCAGCCCACCCCAGCAGCCACCCCCAGGATCCCCATGAAGCAGACACTGCGCAAAGTGAACCCAGCCCCAGTTTATTAGAAAAGGTGTGAACAGAGTTGCACCGACAGGAGTAGCCCCAGCCCTCTGCCCACCCTTACCCATACCCATGCCGCCCGCCCCCCTATGGGTTGTAGTGCCTCTCAGGGCGCAGCCTCCAGTGGCCTGGACAGCAGGGTCCCGGAGTGCCGGCTGCTCCCGCCCAGCTCCCTGATAGATTTATTGCACTTGAGAAAAAAAAAGCTCTGATCCTCTACCCCCATCCCCCCACCCTGCCCGGCCTGCACCATCTGGGGCTGTTCTGCGAATCTCAACCACCACCAGCACGCACCGCCCCTCCCACACCAGGCTGCCCACCCAGCCCTGTGCCCGGGGCCACAGGGGACCATCCCACCACCACCCAGGAACCCTGCCTCCGCAGGGCAAGCCTGGCCCCTCCAGAACAGGCGCCTGATGTCCTTGAAGACCTCCTCTTCCTCCTGCTCCCCCTCCTCCCATTCACCCCCCCGTCTTCCAGTGGTGGGCTCATAAATAGAAGTGCTTGAGTCGCACAGGGAGGGCCACTCTCTAGAGCTCCTGCACCCCTTGTAGTGTTGCTGTGGGTGGAGAGGGGCCCCAGAATGGCCCCCACCCCTGGCATCCTGGGCCTCAGGAAGGCTGGGGGGAAGGTGAGCAGATTCTCATGGCTCTGGCCTCAGCTCATCGCAGACCGACCGGAAAAAGGGAACTTGAGGAGAAATTGGGGGAGAGAGCATCAGAGCCAGGGGCCCTCTCAGCCCTCCCCAGCGCCCCGGGCCTGGGCCTGCCCTCACCTAAAGTGTCACAGTGTCTCCTGTCCGGATTCCTGACTGGCTTCCAGAAGCAGCTCCTCGAGCTCCTTCTCGTTCTTGGAGCAGCTCAGCTCTGCGTGGGAGGACGGGCCAGCCCCCGTCAGCAGGGTGGGGCAGATACAACCTGTTCCCACAGCCCAGCCCCAGCCAGACCCTTGGGGCCTGTAGAGAGCCCGGGGACCACTGAGCCAATCAGGCTCAAGGTGGCACACCTTGCATGCCCACCCAGGGAGAGCGCCCAGGGTCCAAGGGAAGCAGGTGGAGTCCGGGGACTAAGTCCCACTCGTCCTGGTCCCTGCAAGAACCCTTTTAGAGAGGGAGACATGGAGGCCCACAACAGGCAGGGGCCTGCCTGGGGTCACACAGCACCCAGGGCCCCCTCATCACCTGCCCCAGGGCCCCTCTCACCGTGCTCCAGGCCGCAGCTGCCCTGCTTGGCCTCAGGCCCTGGGGGCGGCTCTGGGGGCAGTGCCAGGGCGAACTCAGGCTTCAGTCCGTTGGGCAGCGGTGGCCCTGACTGAGGCGGCTCTGGTGGTGGCTGAGGCTCGGAGGACCCTGTGTCCCAGGTGTCAGTGGCCCCAGCTGGGGGTAGGGCGGGTGAGGTGGGAGGGGAGGGTGGGGGTGGGGGAGGGGATGGGGGAGAGGGCAGGCCAGGAGACGCAGGGGGCTCTGCCCTCTCAGGTGGGCTCTCCACCCGGGTCACCACAAACACCTTGTGGCCCCGGCCCGGGCTGGACACGGAAATCCGCTGCTCAGTGGGTGGGGAGGGGCTGCCTGGGGGACTCCTGTCCCCAGGGCCCAGGGAGTCCATGGGGG